GGTATTAATTAGGTATATGTTCACATTTTTTTGTAAATGTTCACAAAGTTCACATTTACAAAAAAAATTGTTTGCTTTATATAGCATAAAATACAACTTGTGACTCTTGTCGACAAATAATAAAAAACGTTATAATAATAGAAAATCACAACTTGTGACTTTTGTCAATAATTAGCACGCTAAATATTAATGACACACAACACATACACTTAAATCAAATACTGCTTAATCCTCGAAAAAAATGGTCTGAATTAATATGATGTAAATATAATATTTTCATCAAAATAAACATTATTATGCACAACTTCTCAGAAACGTAACAGGCGCTCTTTTTAAAATAAGTAAAATAAAGAAAACTGTATTACTAACGCGTGGTATGTTTTTTGCTATATTAGATAATATTTTTCAAATGGAAATGTTAAAAAACGATTGTACCCCTATATGCGGTTATGCCCCCACCTCCATATATTTTTGTTTAAATAAATAAGTTATACTTCTACATTCCCTAACAAAACTTTGTAAAGTAAACAGAACAGGGCGAATCTGTATTAATACATATACGGGTTATTTATCACACTGTTTAAAGTGCTACATTTAAAAGAGTTTGTTGTGTTGTCAGAGATAATTTTACGGGGAAAGAGGTACCCCTCGCCTTTTTTGGGGTGGTAAAAATTGCCCCCTTCTCCCGCCTTCCCAAAAGAAGTTGATTTTCAAGTTATAGTTGGCTTTATATAATTTAAAACTATAAACCATTACTAGTAACATTTTTTTTGTTCAAATTTCATATAATCCTGTGGGACTTTATTACTCGGGATAGCTATCATTATTTTAGTTTATAACTTAAATAATTTATACAAAACAGTATTTTTATTATTCGAAATGTTTTTTCTGGGTATACTATCGGTTTAGATGTGATTCTTTTTCTTTCACTTTATGAGGAAAAGTTGATGTAAAGAAAACAGTTCATTTTCTTTATTTCAATTTTACTTACAAAATGAAAAGCAGCATTTAGTATACTAGTGTAAAACACGCCTGAAGCACATAAAACATGTTTAATAGAAATAAAAGATTAAAGAATCTGTCAACTGCCTTTAACTCCGTGCTACCAAATAAAAAGTTGCTTTCATATTTACAAATCAGTAAGATTACAATCAGTTGACTAACTTTATAATTGACTCAATTTTTTACTAATTCACTGACATTAACAGTCAAATTATGAACACAATAAAATCATTTCCCACTCATTTAAATTCTTTAATACCTTTTTGTAACAACCCAGTGGGAAATGAGCTAACGATTAGCTAGCTTACAGCGATTTTTGAGAGGTTTTTTTTAAAAAACATTATTGTTTCATTTTGTCTTTCAACTGTTTAAATAAATTCGGTTTTTAGTATTGAATCTGATATTTCTACGATAATCGTTAGCTTTATTTTGTAGCATTGTTGCTAACTACAACATAACGAAAAATCTGTAGCTAGTTGATGGCTATATATCGCAGATTTTTAGCTAGTAATCTTATTACGATATATTGATAGCAACAGACTGTAAGTATGCAACTAACTGCAACAAAACGTCAAGTCTAAATCTAGTTGATGATTATGTGTTGAAGCTTTTTAGTTAGCGATGCTGTTACAATATATCGATATATATATATATATATATATATATATATATATATATATATATATATATATATATATATATATATATATATATATATATATATATATATATATATATAATATTATATTTTAGTATATAATATTATTGTAGCAAGCTATAACATAAAGAAAAGTCTGTATCTATTAGATAACTGCATATCGTAACTTTGTAGCTATCAACAAGATTATTTTAGATAAAAGTATTAAAACATTTAAAAAAAGATGTAACCCGAACAGTGATAAAAAAAAGTTGTAGCCCTAACATAAAATGATAGAACTTGGGTAGTATAATTAGAAATCTGGCAACAAGCATATTAACGCGCGTTGGTTTACGAAGCTGTCTACAACTATAGTAAGTAAACAAGATAATATTTCGTAATAATAATTATAATAATTGTATAGTATATGACATATATGATAAGTAATATAATAACCTTGGGCCAATTTTTTCTAGCTAATTGTTTATATAACTAGCAATTATTGTAACCAAACCACTTTCATCGTTACGAGTAGCGCTAACTAGTTGCTATATAATTAGCGATCCTCGCAGCAAAATTGTTATCTTTATCGTTAAGAATATTGCTAGCTAGTCGCTAGCCGATTTCTGAACGGGATAAAGGTAATGCTTAATTTTAAGTTAATAGAGTTGGATCAAAAATAGATTGTTTCATGAGAGCAAAAATTAAACATGAGTTTTTTTTTTTATTATTTATAGTGCAAATAAGAACTCTCCAAAAAGACTCTGTAATAAAATAAACATTCTCCAGGGAATACTTCGCGAAGAAATAACCGTTCTTTAGAAGTTATTAAATTTATATGAATATATTTCGGATTCCAGATTGTAACTTAAGCGCCTAATATTTCTACTTTCTTTCGTTTAAATCAAAAAACAAAACCTAAAGATAAAAAAAAAATGTAGCTTTTGATTCAAGCTATTAATATCATATATTTGCTATCATTATGATAAATTAAGAGAAAGATTTTCGGGATTTTTTTAACAAATCGAATTAATTAAGGACATATATGACATAAGTACAATAAATTAAGGACAACTGCTTCAAAATTCATTAGCTAAACATAATTTACTGTATTATCATAAAGCTCAAAGCAGCTGTACCTTGTTTATTAGTTTACTTTTTTTTAGGGTTATGCCCTAGAAAAAAGTAAAACTTTAATCTCATTAGTTTTGGAATTGAAATGTTGGTTGCAAAACCATTTCAAGTTTTCTGGCAAAATTTTAAAGCAAAATGTTTAATTTTTTTTAAGTCTTGATGAACAATCTTATAGTAAAAGATTAAACAGAAATCAAAAACAAACTTGAACGTTATCGAAGCTAAAGTATATCTAACTAGTCTTAAAAAAACAAACTTGTTGGAAACGAAAAGAAGCTTTTTTAAAAACTTAAAACAAAAAATTAATCATTTTAATTATATTTAAGATATACATATATTTAATCGCAAACATTTGAATTTGCAGCTAATAAAACATGTAGTTTGCAGCTAAAAACATATAAAATATATATGTTTGTCGCTGATAAAGCAACAGTGATATTATAACACTTATAAAGCTTACATTAGTAAGATATATTTATTCAAATTACTCATGTACACGTTCATGTTACACGATGTTGATGACATGATAGTTGATGATTCATGATTAATGTTAACAATTTTATTATTTAATAAATTAAATGTTTTTTATCTTATAGTAGCATTATGCTTACAGTAACTCATGTCAAAAGATTTTAGTATTACCATCTTCTTAAGAACCTGCATTAAAAAAAAGTTTGTTCCTATCGTGTTACACGGTATTAACGTTGAGCCTTGGTTTAATATTGTGCATTTTTTATCAGTCTTTTATATATATGTCAGACTCCTAAACTAATCGAAATATTTTTACTGCAACAATGATAAAAAAAAGTTCAAACAGTTGCTTTAAAATATAAAAAACTCATTTTGGTATTAATGGTTTTGCTTTAAGCGCTATCCTCTCTTGCCTTCTTTTTTCTAACTCAACCGATTTAGCTTAAATCCCCTTTAACTTATGAGTAAAATGCAAAACACACAAAAAATCAAGTGGGCTGCAATGATTTTAAGGATTTACCAATTTATTATTTGTGCTATTGTATTTTTTTAACATTGCAGGCTGTGCTTTGCTTAAGAAACAACAATAGCATTTCTGAACTAATAAAAATAGTTTAAAAATCGCATAGCTTAGTACTTCGCGGTTCGTATAGTTTAGTACTTCACGATTGAATGATTTTTAAACCAATAATTATATTAAATAGTAAATATTTTTTAAATACTTTATATTTTATCTTATGCATAGAATTGATTATTTTTTGAAAAAACGATTCTTTGAAAAATTCCAAACGAGGTGAAAAGACTTCAGCGAATCGCTATACAAACTACTAAATATAACATTAACAAATTTTTGCTTAATAAGTCTTAAAAAATTAAGCTTAATAAACTTAAAAATTTAAGCCTAATAAATTTTTGCTTAAAAATTTATTTATCAACACAATCATAGTCAATTTATTCATCAACATAAATTTGAATTTTTTATTTTAAACTTTAAAACTTATCTGATTTACAACAATTTATGTAAAGAACAAAAATGACGTAACATATAAAGCTAATACAGCATTACGAAATAAGTATTAAAAATCTTTAAGAATCGTAACTAAAGAGATTTAATATATTTGAAATTTATCACAACCGTGACATGCCTTCAGGTAAAACAAGAAAAGATAAAAATGACTTATCAAAAAATAGGAATTGTCTCACTCGTATTAGAAAAGACTGCAAGTTGAAATACAAATTAAATCCTTATTTATATATCTATTTTTAACGTGAATTACGAGTTTAATTCATGAACGATTTGTTATAATTTGTAAGTCATTGTCAACGTCGACTGTCTTCAACAAAAAAAATTCTTTAAAAGTTTTGTTTTGCCCATGAAAAAAATGATTTTTATTGTAGTAATTTACTTTTTATTTTTTTTTTTTAATTTCAAAATAAGACAACCCTTGACTAAAGATTTTCACTCAATTAATTTTACGATTAAAAGTTTTCCCCATTATACATTTATTAGTAAAACTTGTATAAAAGTATATATGTACCTTCGCTAACGATTAAGCTTAAACAACTTTTGCTTTAATCTTAAAACTTTGTTGACTGATGTTAAAAAAGTACTATTATATCACTAATGCGTTTTTTATATTTTTGATTTTATTTATGTGTGTCTTTTTAAAATTGTGTAAGTATTTTTAAAATGGTATCACAAATATCTGATAAACTTTTATTATATGAGAGTGACTGATAGTTATTTTTTTTTCAGCAAAAAACATGAAGAAAAAGCATAAAGATATTTATTCTATTGATATTGATCACGACATAATTAACAACAACAATCTATATGTGAACAAAGACATTTTTCCGAAAAATATTACCACTACTCAAAAAAGGCATTCTATGTATCAGTTATTTACTAATATTAAATCTCGGTTCGGTTCAACAACTTCTCATAAAAGCGGTAAGTCTTTTAAAATGCGAAAAAACGTGCAGGAGGTAGCAATTAAAAAAAATATTTTTCATTAGCACTATAACCTTACAGGCCGTTACTTACTTGTTTAGAAGATAAACCAATTTGTTTGTTATCTAAGTATATATATTATACTTGGTGTATATCTTTGATAGAGCATCATCTTATATTTGTTTATAAAAAATAATCTCTATTCAAACGTATATTAAAGTTATATACATAAAATATAATAGAGTATAAGAATGTCAATTTAAATTAATTTTACAGATTATTTTTAAATTAAAGTAAGCAATTTTTTGATCTGGTAAGTAATGAATTGGATATCATAAAGTTTATTTATTAATCAGGCGCTTTATTTTACTATCAAGGGCAACTTTACAATCAGGAGGTTAATCTTATAGTGATTGCATTTATTATTTTAAAGACTTTATATATGAGTTATGAATTCTTTATACCTCCTGAAAACTTAAAACAAATTGTTTTTATGTTCTTTTTATTACAATACAAAAAACTCGAAAATATGGTCAATTAACAGTCCAATAAAATGTCAATGAATTTAAAGAAAACACAAGCCGGACTGAACTCTTTCATAAAGAACTGCAGGAATAGAGCTTGTAAGTTAATATTACGGTGAATTTATAATTTATGCGTGGTATGTATAATTTTGCTGTAAAGTTTTTTTTTTTGTATTAGCAAGTAAACCGAACACGAGAAGTAAGTCTTGTAAAGTAAACCGAAAACATGTTTCTCACTAATTAATTAAAATCACGCATATATTACTAGTAACTAATGCGATGAAACATATTCCACACTCTAACTAAGATCACGCATGCATTATTAACAACTCATGCCATGAAGCATGTTCCACACGCGTCAACTAAGATCGAGCTCACATAGCTAAGAACTAAGTTTATAAAAATGTTCACACGCACATTAACTAAGGTCACGCATACATAATTAGCAACTAATGTCATCCAAGTAAGGTCATGCAAGTTTGAAATAGAAGATTGAACTGCTTAAACTCTATTAAAAAAATTTTTTTTACTCTTAATTCTTAAATATTTATAATAATAACTATTTTAAAAGAGTGCTGATATCATTATTTACCAGCTTGTTGCATTTTATACATTTTTAACCAATTAATTTAGACACAGGAGTATTCTAAAAGTGCGTGTTCTAAATGAAATTAGAATGAAATAAAATATCAAATAAAATTTTAATTAGCTATAATTAATTATCTAATATTTAATTAACGATATAATTATGCTAGTTCTTACTAGTTTTACCAATGAATATTAAATTACTTAATACAAAAACATTAAAAAACAGATCATACTAAAAAATGTTATAATTAAAATTACCATCACTAATTTTAAAGTCCTTTTTTTAAGCTTTGTTATATATCGAATAAGTTTAGATTTGAATAATTTTATGCATAATTTGCATAGTATGTACAATTAGTTTTTCACAGTTTTTTTTGGAGAACTGGTTGCTGTCTAATAGAATTGTTGCCAGGGCCGACGAGACGGGTTTTGAAGTGGGTGGGGTGGGGGAGGTCTATCACCAATTTGTAAAACAGTCCTCTATATCAAGATTGTTCTTAAAAAAAAAAAAGTTCCTCGAGAAAAAATGTTGGGGTGACGCGTCCCCTTGGCCCCCGGTGTCGACGGCCCTGGTTGCTATATAAAAGTAATTTACTACTGCATTAAAAAAAATTAAAACTAGATAACATTTTCCAAAAAAACAAAATAACCAGTGCAATTATTTTTTTTAACACATCATGTGACCAGGCAGAATCTTATTCTGAAAAAGTTATTTTAAGTAAAAAAACATGAAATGAAGTAATTTTTATTGTTCTCAGAGGATTTTATTTTTGATAATTTTGAAACTTTAAATGTATATAATTATGCGGCTAATAATTTATGATTTGAATCCATAATTAGAATCTACAATTCGAATTTTACGGAGAAATAACATATATTCGAATTTCAAAGAGTAAAACAAATAGCAATTCTAAGCCTTAACTATCACTTATATTTTTATGTAAGCAAGAAAAATGTCAGCAACAATTATTTGTAATTTGAAAATAATTACTTACACTTATGATTACTTATAATTAACAAGGTTATAAAAGCCAATATACAATTATTGAAGATTGCTTTTTATGATCTTTTAAATTTATATTATTCAGCTCTAAAATTAGAAACCAGGTTGTAATTTTAAAGTACGACAATAGCATTCATTGCTTCAATTGATCTTAATTTTGATACATAATCAAAAACATCATTTCGCTTTTCATTCGACTTCTCCTTAGCGGAATTAGCATTATGCCGATAGCGCCGTTGGGTACTGTTAAATTTTTCTAATTTAACAATACCCATTGGCCATGCGTCTTCTGGGAGACGTCTGTCGGGTGTCCCTCGGACGACGCGTCCCCCGGACCCCACTGGATACCATCCTCAAACTTAGATTGTCTTCTATGTCTACTTTTTATTTTTCAAATGAAAACTCTTTACCAAACATTTGTTGGCAGCAAAAATATTTCAAAGCAAAAAAATTAAGAAAGAATTGTATTAAGTGTAGTCTCGAGATATGAACACTAGTACATTACGGTGATTCATACCCCATGGCTATGCTAAGCCAAACAATATCCGAAGATGTTGTTTGGCTTAGCATGGGAACATGCTAAGTTCCCATGGCATGTTCGTATGCTAAGCCAAACAATATCTTCGGATAAAAGTATTGTATAGAAAAATATAGCATGAAAATTCCAATAAGTAAAAGAAATAAAAATAAAAATATAAAAATGAGAAAAAGTTATATTTAAGCTGAAGAAATATTTTCAAACTTATTTAAAACCTACACCTTAAAACAACAAATTTTTACAATGTAAATTTTTTGTAAATTCTGGAATTGATTTGTGTTGTTTGGAAAAAAGTGCCTAAAAGGTGTGTTTGGGTCAAAAAAAGTATTAGAACTATATGTATTTTCAGCTATTATTGAATTTAATGTTGGAGTCTTTGGAATGGAATTAATTTTTTTTGAACTTGGTATAAAATATAATAATTTTTTATTAAACAATTTTTTTTGAAATCGGTTTTGAAAGTGCACTAAGGACACAAAGAAAGCACTGAGCAAAAAGTGAAACTAAGAGCTGTTGGGAAAATATTTGTGGGTCAAGTAAATCAATAAAATTAATGAAACTAAATCAGTTTATGAAGCGAGGGCTAACTAACTGTTTAACTTTTTTTTTTTGGTTGTTTTTTTAGTTTTAGTCTATTTTCTATTTTGAGATATTTTTAATTTTACATTTTAAATATCTAATTATCCGAGAGTCAAAATAATTGAAAATTTTTAGAATATAATTGCAGTGGTAATGGAGTTGAAGCAGCAATAAAACAAACTTTTAAAAAATAATATTTTTATAAAAAATAGATTCTATATCTTTTTTAGAGCGATCTTTGTGAATTTTGATATTTTGAAATATTTGTAAAAAACATCGACAACTCGTGAAACTTCTTCAACTCCTGCGCAATTACCTAATAATGTTGACTTTAAAATTTAAGTTTATAAAGCAAAACTTTCTTGCCTAATTTTAGTTTTAAATTTTCTCTTCTTAAGCATAAAAGTGTGAATAAACGAGGCAAAACAAATTTTTCACAACATTTTTTGTATTTTTTTAGAAATTGTTGTTTTATTTATGTTAACAGAAATCAGCACTTGAAATAGTTAGTTTTCTTTTAAAATTTTTTTGGGGTTATTAACCACCCACTTTTTATCTTAGAAGATGGTTTTGAAAGAATAAACACTTCTTCGGAATGTATAAAAAACTAGTTCTTGTTTGATGTGTTACATTAACCTTGAACACGAGGTCTAATGACATGCGTTTTACTTTCTTTAACCTGAAAGCAGCTGCAAAGTAATTATAAAACCGTTAATCAGAAAAATTCGATAAAAAAAAATAGAATTTACCTTAATTATCTTAATAAAATGTATAAACTATTATTCATTTTGAAACTATTTTCTATGTGGAAAACGTTAAAGAGTTTTGGAACATTTATGTTTGTTTTTCTGATTCCAGTTACAACTTTTTTTTGTGAACTTATACTTTATTTTATTAAAAGTTAAAAAATATTCATTACTTGAAACCTGGTAAATTATAAAGAACTAAAACAATAATTTCAGTATCTGTCAAACAGGCAAGCATTTATCCTTTTTCTTATAAATTATACCTGCTTCCGAATCTACCCGCTCACTATATACATTGCAACCGGTAGATGATAAATAAATCTTAGCAAGTTATGCTAGTTTTGGATACTATTTTTCATTTGCTTACCCTACTTTAAAAGGTATGGTGCCCAATCTAAATAAGCACGTTTCATGAAAAATTATTTTTGTTTCCATTTTTCATAATTTGCCAGTTTTTTGTGGGTGATTTTAATTTTCTGACGTCATTTATGCATCTGATTTTCTGACGTCATTTATGCTTCTGATTTTCTTACTTCACTTATGCTTCTGATTTTCTGACGTCTTTTATGCTTCTAATTTCAAAGAAAATAAGTATATTAAGTGTATGCGTATTTATTTGAAACAGGTATTATTTGTATTATATATAAAATTTGTTATATTATTTTTATTAAATTTGTTGACGTCTACGTGTAGGGGAATGGAAAGTAAATAAAACCCACTTTCTCTAATAAAAACCTTATTTAAAAGTTGGTGGTCATGTTATATCTCTGGTCGGCAAGTTTCGACCTTTAGTTGGCTGTCGGCAAAATTTGTTCGCTTGCATTTAATATCAGCCAACAAAGACTTTTTTTTCGTTAGTATGCAAAAAACAGATACGTCACCCCATCCCTTGGTACATTAAAATAACTAAAAGTTATTTAAATTTTTCTTCTCTATAACCACTAATAATATACGTAATAATTTTACTTTTTTTTTTTTTTTTTTTTAATGGTGATTCACCTCCCCAAAGCCGAGAAGGCCAT